TTTTATCACATATGTGCAGTTCAAACAGTTTGATTTTTAACAGGTGAGAAACACATTAACCTTCCAATTTATCATCTGTTCGGCAGCAGTTTTCCAAACTTTTCCTTCAATTTTTTGGCTCTAAAATGATTTTCTACTGGACGAGAAATGGACAAACGACAGATTTTCGAACGACTTTTCATTAAGTGTATGGACACCATTACACAGATCAGCCCCTGCTGTGGCCTATCAGTTTGTGACTTGTAGTCCTGACCTTGCAGTCCTGACCCTGAGACGATTCCAGCCCAGTCCTGACCCTGAGCTGATTCCAGCACTCCATTGCCCCCCCCAGATTCCAGCAATGCCCTGAACCCATCCAGTTACAATATTACAGTCTGATGACTGACATCATCTCAGTCTAGGCAAAGTCACTGACTGGATTTCAAGGATGGCTGATCCGTCAGGGATTCATTTATGCAGTAAGGTTACTGACAGGTCCATTTTAGGGAGAATCCAACAGGGGGAACTGAAACACTCCGAAACTCCTAAATGGACATTGGAATTATGGCCAGGGAATCTTGACAATGTAGTGCCCACAAAAAACTAGAGGCCAGCAGAAGACTTAGCCCACCAGAAGTTTGCGAGTGATTACACTGATTCATGGCAAGGCTGTGCATTGGATGACCATGAAAGATGTTTTTCAGTGTGGCATAAATTTTTTTATGACCATCTTCACCCCCAAATATGGACTGATGGCAAATCTTAATGGGGCTTTCTAATCTTGTATGCAGTTTCTATATTTTCAGTGGAGTTGAGCCACCGGCACTTCCCTCGCCTGCATACAATGCAGACTACCTATTAGGAGCTTCCATGCTAAAACGTCTAGTCAAATGCTGGGCTCCCAAGTAAGCTCAGAGTCTTGTTGAAGTTCACTGTTGGCAGATACAGCCAATGGGTGGCCTCTTCTATTAGCCTAATAGTTTCATACTTTTTTTCTGTGACAGGTGCTCTTTATTGTAGACACAACTATTGCTCTGACACTGACTAGATCCCAGAACTGCCCTAATCCTGACCAGATCCCAGCACTGCTCAGACCCTGACCAGATCCCAGCACTGGCCTAACCCTGACCAGATCCCAGCGCTGCTCTGATTCTAACCATATCCTAGCACTGCTCTGATTTTGACCAGATTACAGCACTGATCTGACCCAGGCCACATTACAGCACTGCCATGTCCCCGACCAGATCCCTACACCATACTGACCCTGACCAGGTCCCAGCACTGCTCTGACAGTTGAAAACAATCAAGACCCTGAGCAGATTCCAGCCCAGTCCCGACCCTGAGATGATACCAGCACTCCACTGCCCCCACCAGATTCCAGCACTGTCCTGAACTCATCCAGATTACAAAACTGCCAAGACCTTGACCAGTTTCCAGCACTTCCCGACCTTGACCATAATCCAGCGCTGCCACGACCCTGGACAGATTCCAGCACTACAATGACTTCACCAAATTCCAACACTACCCTTACCCTGGCCTGATTCCAGTACTAGCGTGACCCAAACCAGTTTCTAGCACTACCCTGACTCAGACCAGATTCCAGCATTGGCATGATCGCAACCTGATTTCAGTACTGCCCTGATCCCGACCATATTACAGCACTTCTGTGACCCTGACCAGTTTCCAGCACTACCCTGAAACTGGCCGGATTCCAGCACTTCTCTGACCCTGACCAGTTTCCAGCACTACCCTGAAACTGGCCGGATTCCAGCACTTCTCTGACCCTGACCAGTTTCCAGCACTACCCTGAAACTGGCCGGATTCCAGCACTTCCGTGACCCTAACCTGATTCCAGTACTGCATCGATCCTGACCATATTACAGCAGTGCCTGAGACCTCGGGTCACCTTGGGCACTGCCCCAAAGATAAGGATCAGGATTTGTAAGGCTTTCCACAAGGGCAACAATGAGTGCCGTGAAATGTCCAGCTATGGAGAACAGGTAACAAGCATCTCACTGTGTGTGCACCACATCCGGCCAAGACCAGCCAATGATAATGGGCAGAACCAGTTCCATGGCAATGCATTTGGCAACAAGCACATTGGAGTACAGTATGACAGTGCAGATTCTTTCACCTTCCATTACAATTCAGTTACATTGTTTTCTGATTGACCTCCAGCCATGCAGCATGCTTTGTAAGGAATTTATCAAATCTGGAGTAGCTGCGCATGGCAACCAATCAGCTTGTATCTTCAGCTTGTTCATAGTGCAGTGACTGACGTTTTCCTGTACTGGATAAATGGCAGTCATCACTAAGGCACATAAAAAACAATTGTTTTCTATGTGCCCAGTTCAAACAGCAACGCAACCTGCAGTTGCGGTGAAGTAAGCTAGGATAAAATGCAGACATGTAGCATTTTACTGCAGCACACAGATAGGCACCGCATATTAAAAAAATGTAAAATAACTGAGATAAAAAGAGCATACATTAAATGTCTTAGAATAGTGAATGTGATGCAAAGGTCAGTGATATGAGCTGCGTTCACAGATAAGGACATGAACAAAAGGACATTCCAGCTCATCTTCATCATTCAGAGGAATTCTACAATAGAGCAAATGGCATGATATACAGGTCATGTGACTTGGTGAGGCCACTCCCACAACCGCTTCCTATATTATTATATACTCCTAAATCACAATTCCACCTGATGTGGCGTCGCCAAAGCGGGAGGGAAAATATAAAAATCAGCTTATCTGGAATTCAATGCTTTCAGACTGGTAGGAAATCTGATGTGCAATGAAGAACAATCCCTGATCTGAACACATTTATTATACACTCCACGAGGAGCCCCAGGCCCACTTATCATGTGTGGGCTATGGATAAAGAAATGTAAACCAACACAAGATAAATATTACAACTTAACAGTCGCTACAAGCCATTGTAGGCAACAGCTGCTGGAACTGAAGGGCTCATTCTCACATGCAGCCAGGGGTGTATTTACCACAAGGCAAACAAGGCACTTGCCTAGGGTGGCATTTTTCAGGGGGGCAGCACCTCCCCCCAGAAGAAGGGAGCCAGGTGGGATCCGAGAGAGGCTGTGGGCTGCTTGATGGTGTATGTACATCCTGACTTACGTTACCGGGTATGTCCGGAGCTGTGAAGATGGGTGTATTTCTCTCTATCGCCGGAGTGGGGGGGTAGTGGAAGACTCTCCCAGATGGGGGGCATGGGTGTTGTTGGTCATTGTCAGGCTCTCTCCACGGGAGGGGGAAGGGGTGGTGGTGTTGGTCAGTGCCCGTGGGGGAGACAATTTTTGTGTTGCCTAGGGCAGCACAAAATCTAAATACACCACTGCATGCAGCAACCCCTGCCACTCCACTGAAAAGCAATCCGTGGTGGATCTTTCAACTTTTAATCCTTTTAAATCTCTTCCAATAATAGTGGGAGATGTGCGCATGGCTTCAGTGGGTTATTTGGGGCCGATTCACACCAAAGCCAAAGCGGTGTATTGGGTCCCATTGCCCATCACAACCATAATGCAACATCAAGGGAAATAAAATTGGCGTCAACTATTGTTGTTCACATTGATGCACTGCATTGCTTCCTGTTGTGCTAAAATGATGCCTGCACAGTGCATCCTCTGGATATAAAGAAAGCAAACAGAGGGCGCACCGGCCTAGTGCATTACCGTAAAAAAACATTTATTGAAAAAATAAAAATAGGTATTGTACTCACAAATGACAATAATGTCAAAGGCACATCGTAAAGAACAGCACTGTCCGATCCACACTACGTGACGTGGCTCTGAGGAAGAGGCAAGTCCTCGAAACGCGTTAGCCTGTTGGAAGTCCAGGGTTCCCATTGCAGATGGTCATGTAGTGTGGATTGGACAGTGCTGTTCTTTACGATGTGCCTTTGACATTATTGTCATTTGTGCGTACAATACCTATTTTTATTTCTTCAATCAATGTTTTTTTATGGTAATGCACTAGGCCTGTGCACCCTCTGTTTGTTTTCTTTATATCCAGTGCATTTGGACTACCCCGGTCTGTTGAGGGCCGCAAGGATTGCACATTCCAGGACATCCAAGATGTAGCCATAGCCTATGCTGAGTCCATCCCCAAGCAAAGGAGTACTTGGGTTTGCTGTTTACAGTGCATCCTCACCAGGGTCCTCACCAGGGTCCAGGTAACCTTAACCCTTTAAGGGTTTCAGAAGCCGGGAGGCGGGGCGGGGTTTTAGGGTCATGTGACTGCCGTACTTCGCCGACATGATCGGGAAAGGTCCCGATCGAAAGAGGAGATCAAGACCTTTCCGTGAGTACCGCAGGGTGCGCGCTCTCAGCACATATGTTTTTCTTAATTGTACGCAAATGTGCGGCCGCTCGGCGTCTAGGCCCAGCGTGAAGAGGTTAAAGCAGAACTATAGGTAAATCTTTTTTTTTTTTCACTTTGGATGGAGCAAGGGAAGGTTATAACCTCTGTCAATTTTTTTTCACCATCTGTGTCCCATTGGAGAAATTTCCCTTCACTTCCTGTCCCATAGCCAAACAGGAAGTGAGAGGAAATCCTTGTAAATTAAGGGAATTCCTTGAGGATACCCAGGTCACCAGAACTAGTGTCCCCATTGGAGAATTTCCCCACCATTCCTGTTCTGGGACAAACCAAAAATTTTGGATTTTCTTTTACCTTCACTTCCAGTGGTAATGATAAACAGGACAAATAGAGAGGGTGAATCTCCCTAATGGGGGCACAGACAGCAATAAAAACTGATAAGTGTTCTAACCCATCTCCACTCTAGCTAAACCTAAAGAAACATTTTGCATTTAGTTCTATTTTGATAGTTTTCGCTCCGGGATGGTCAAACTCTTTACAAGTGTAGGGTGCTTAGCTGGAGAAGGAGACCCCACACTAGTTAGTTAGGTTGAAAGCAGGGGCGGACTGACCATTTGGAAACTTGGGCACTGCCCGAGGGAGCGGGGTCAGTAGGGGGCCCCATGAGATGCCCCTGGTACCTTTTTCATAGGCTTTTTTGAGTTTGGGCAAGGACCCAGGGGTCCCATGATCCCCTATTGCCCAGGGGCCCCATGAGTTGTCAGTCCACCCCTGGTTGAAAGACAAGTCCATTGAGTTCAACCAAAATGCTAGTGTTGGCTGGCTGTCATGCCGAACTTGTTGATCAAATCTACCCACTGCTTTCAATGTCCAGCAGATACAACAATAAATCCCTCCACAGAGAGTGGAAATGCCCTCTTAGCATGGTGAATCGCATGATGTGGTAAGTAAAATGTTTTCCTATGGAGGGCGTTCACATATATGGAGTCCACATGCTCTGTGTTTTTTAAAGAGTCGTGTGCATGTTTCCAGTATTGCGATCCGATTTTGAGCTTTATATAGTTGAATGGAATTACATGTGAAACAGTAATGTGTTTACACGCAATGTGATTCCAGATCGTTTTTTGCAAGTGTCTCCTGTGTTTCTGACCTGGTTTCCGAGAGAAAGAAAGGGGGAGGGAGAGAGAATCTCTAAATCAAAATCATACCTACATGTAAATGGCAAGACAAATGCATTGGGAATCACAGCCAAATTGCATCTCAACCGCGCTGCAGGTGCTCCTTGAATCACATTTAAAAACTGAATGAACTCGCACTGCTTTAGTGTGAACCTATCCCAACCATGGCACCACCTGCCTGGAGTTTGCATGTTCTCCCTGTGCCTGCGTGGGTTTCCTCTGGGTACTCCATTTTTCTTCCACACTCCAAAGACATGCTGGGAGGTTAATTGGCTCGTGTCTAAATTGGCCCTAGTATGTGTATGTATGAATGTGAGTTAGGGACCTTAGATTGTACGCCCCTTGAGGGTTAGGGACTGATGTGAATGTACAATATATATGTAAAGTGCTGCGTAAATTGACAGCGATATATAAGTACCTGAAATAAATAAACCTAGCCTTAGACAGTTGTCACCGGGACAGGTGTCTCCATTGGAAAAGTCCTCCTCAATTCCCGGTCTGATGACAACTTTAAAATTGCCCCTCGCTTTTTGTTCCTGTGACAGCGATCATCAGGACAAATATAAATGGTAAATTTTTTCAGCATGGAGACCAACAGCATAAAAAACTTAAAGTGGAATTAAAGTGTTACTAAACCCACAACAGTGAAAATCAATAAATTGATTTTGACAATTTTATCAGTTGGTCTGGAGCCCCTTCTATTAGGGCATAGATAGCACAAGCACCTTAATCCAACTATCAAGGATTGTGTTAACATGTTACTAAATCCACTTCAGTAAAATCAGTCTGTGTATGCAGTAAAGCATGCTTGTTATACTCACTGTGGAACATAAGGGGTTAATCCTCCGCATTGTAAAAGGCTGTTTGATCCTGCCTTCTCTGATCCTCCCCTTTTTTACTGTCACCAATCCATCTGCTGATTGTACAGAGCTCTATGAGTCACTCTGCACATGCTCAGTTTGGTATGTATTGCTAGAAAGTTTTTTTTTTTCTGAGAGAGTGCATGTGATCAGCACAGAGCCAATCTGCACTCTCCAGACAGAGGGTCAGGGGTCCAGCAGCCTCATGGGACAAAGCAGAAAAACTACTCCTACAGGATTAACCAGTGCTCAGCTGGACACTAATAGAAGTCACAAGACTGCTATATACTGCTGATGAGAAAAGGTATTTAGCAGTTTATAGTTACTAAAATAATTGCATTTCCATGTTCTGTGTACTGTGGGAGACCAGATATAGTGACTGCAGGGTCCTGGGTTTAGTAACACTTTAAACTCAAAAATAAAAACTTGTCCAAAAGGTGTAATTTTATGATATGGGAGGTTCTACTTGTCTCTTCTGCCAAAAATCTTTTTCTCCCTACCTTTCAGTATTTGTTTTTTCTAAATGTACACTGAGCTGCACATGCGCAGCTTTGTGCATATTTATATCACGGCTCTGTGCCGAGTCACTGTGCCTCCTGTGCACATGCACAGGAATGACATCACCCCGGCCCAACCAATCAAGCGGCCTAAGAGTCCACACTAAGACAGAAAAGTGCTGTCAGTGCAGCGCTGGAGGGGATTGCTTCCAAAGTAAGTCTGCCATAATGTGCTAATATACTGTGCACACTAACACATCATTTCTAAAAGCTCCTGATGGTTTTTTATTTTTTTTGGCAGACTTTTAATACTGCTTAAACAGCTGCCCCAAAACGTTCCCACTTCATCCAAAACTAAAGAAAAAAAGTTTTGGCTTCAGATACACTTTAAGAATAGAGGAAACGGAACACCGCCCTATATATCCCCCTTTTGGAGCAGACACTGGGGTTGATTTACTAAAGGAAAATAGGTTATGCACTGCAAAAGCACTCCAAGTACACTCGCAAGTGCACTGAAGGTGCAGTTGCTCTAGATCTGAGGGGAACATGCAAGGAAAATAAAAAAAAACAGCATTTTTGCTTGCACATGATTGGATGAAAGAAATCAGCAGAGTTTCGCCTCATTTCAGAGCTTCTCCTCGGATATAAAGCAACTGCATTTGCAGTGCACAGCCTATTTACCTTTAGTAAATCAACCCCACTGTGATACATATGGCATCAATAGGCTCAATGCACAAAGCTTTACACAACAGACATCATTTTCAAATCTCTTCAGACTCAGCTGAAAATAACTGTCATTTTTTAATATAAATTAGGACTCTTATCCCGGGGTGACAGCTTTGTGAACTGAGCCTAATGTGGGGAATGAGGCCGGCAGACAAGCCTATAAAAATCAGCATTTAATCACATCAGTCAGCTGGAAATTTCCAGCCCAGTTCATAAAATCTGCATGAGATGTCCAAGTCCAGAGTTCATCTAAAACCATCTTTATTACTATTGACAGGAAAGCCCTGACAACAAGAGCTTGCCATCATCTCCTACTCTACTGAAAATGAGACGTGAAGGATATTACCGGACACAAAAGGCACAAACCATAAAGCTTTAACACAAGGAGAAGTGTCTTCATTTTGGCCATGTTACAGATATTTTCAGATCTCACTGGACTCCACAGAAAATAACTGTCACGTTTTGAAAATATGTATCTTCATCCTGGTATGTTAGCTTTGTGAATTGAGCCTTAGTCTGCTCATGTATGCTGATCCAAGCCATGAATCAGTTTATAAATCCTTAAACAATGAATGAGACAAAGCATCTGCAGACAATATCACTGAATCCTCCCCACTAATCTTATTATATAATAATCTGGAAGCCTCTTAAAATATCACCAGGACTTCCTGAGAGGGAAAAGCCAATTAATTGCAATAAATCACAATTTTTGCTGTCATTGTTCCTACATGAGCCATGTGTCAGTGTGGCAGGGGTGACAGTCACACAATGTGATGGGCTGACATCGTGCGTGAGAACTGGATGACATGTAGAGATGATGAGTGTCAGATAACGGGGGAGAGGTACACCGCAGACAGAGGAAGGAGAGTCAGGGTCCCGGACGGGTGCCCCCCCCCCCCTTCCGTCACCTCACTGTCCCCTTCTGTCCATCATAATAGGTACAATGTGATCCATCTGCACCCCATCATATATCACTCTGTAAATTGTCCTGTCTTATAGTATACAGAAAGCCTGGAGGGGGGGGGGGGGAGGGGGTTGGGCTATGAATTACAGTGACAGGGAAGACAAGACAATGGGCTAGGGGTGAGGTTTATGGGGAGGGTCAGCCTGAGATAAGGATGATGCTTTGTGTTTGGGGTGGAAAGTGGGGGAGGATGCAGGAAGGATGCAGGCCGGGTACCACACACACACGCACATACATACACGCTTACTGTATGATGCAGTGCAACGTACAATGATGAGAAATGTGACCATTCACAGGGAACATATTAAGAAGAAATAATAATAATAACAATAATAACAATAATATTTTTCTAGAAGGCACACCCGACTTCTCCCCTTTAGAAAAGTTTTCAAGTTCCATAAATGGAACACAATGTAACAAACAGTAAAAAAGAGAAATGTCAAAGAACAAAGTAGCAAGATGCAATAAAGAGGACAAAGAAAATAGAATACTTGTAAAAGATGTAACTTCCACCCGCAGCTTACTTCTAAGAATGGATTAAGGGCCTGTTCACACCTGAATTGCACAGGAACGTGACCTGACTCGGCGCAGGCAATCTTCAGCCCATTCATTTGAACAGGATGCATGGGATCGCACCAAAAGCAGTGCAATGTTTTTCAAAAATGTACTGCACCGGATTGCATGGTACTGCAGTTTCTCCTGCACCACATTCCAATGTATGAGTCCTAAGGCTTCGTTCAAACTTGCGGTACTGCTTACCGCCCTCTGAAAAGCAAATCGTGGTGGATTGCTTTTTAAAGGGCGATATACTACCAGCTGCCAGCCATTCAAGAAGTGCTACTGCCACCTCCTAATGCCTGTTTTTTTATTTTTTTAAACTTTTGTTTTTAACTTGGCGAACAGCAATTTTACACTGCAGGACCACACTGCAATTGTAAGTCAAGCATTTGGCTCAAGGTGGTGGCTTGCTTCTGTTGACCTCAGTGGGTGAGTTTGACAGGCGGTACTGCAACCCAAACCAAAGCATCGCAGACATGGCATGTGTAAAGCCCAGAAACATTTTCACCTCTGTTAAGATACGGTGTAGACATTTCCCAGGACAGCTTTAATAATAGGGAAAAATTGTTATAATAACAATGGCAAAATACATCTTGATAGCTGGAAGGCTTGACTTTGGTCCCTCGGGCTGCATTTATACTTGAGTGTTGCATAAACACACGCAGAAGCATTTTTCTCCAATTGCACTGCAATTCATTGTAATGGAACCCCAAATGAATGTTTTTGTGTTAAAAAAAAAAAACACGCAGCAAATGCAGCAGGGCAACAAGAGCGGCAAGTTAAAAAAAACACGTGATCTTGAAAAGGATGCCACACGTAGGGCAGCCCAATGAATTTTAAGGGTTGCCCTATGCATGTTGCTCCGCAACGCACAAAGACCCGAATTGTGCTTTTAGCACACGTTCACTAAACAAAGTGTGAATGCAGCCTGAGCTTTGTACTGTACATGGTCTGTGAACTTTCCTGAGAATCCAGAAATTCTATAAAAAAA